TACTTCTGGCTGGGAACTGTGTGCATCCGAGCCTGGAGAGTGCCTATTTTTAACAAATAAAATATTGCTGTGCAGCTGGCTCTTTTGGGAAAATAGAATTCTCAGGACGTTTCCTTGGTCTGACTGTTTGCATTTGATGTCTTTTGATCTCATTTTTGGGTGGTGTTACTGTAATTGCTCTTTGCATTGCATGGCTCACAGAAAGCCTGCTTTGGTTGCAGCCATCAGAGAAGGTGCATTCACTTGCAGGGAGTGCATGTGTTCAGACAATGTGGCTCAAGAAAGAATTTCATTTTCATGTCAGTTTGGAAAAAACAAGAGGTCACGATGTGAGGAGAGGAAGCTGCATTTGGGTTTGCAGAGTGTTGGTGATAAAATCTAGTTCCAGTGACGTTTCTAATCATTAAATGTGTTCTGAATAATTTTTGAAAAATTTTGCAGAAGTGAGCTTCCAAGCAAAATGAGGAATTAAAAGACATTCATCACTGCAGCTTATATGGCAATTGTCTTTTCCAGATATGTTGTGAGACAAAGATACAGAGTACAGTGTGGTGGGTTGACTCTGGCTGGAGCAGCTTCCCACTGGACTCCTCTGTCACTGCCCTCCTCAGCTGGCAGGGGAGAGAAAACAAAATGAAATTCTCTTGGGTCAAGATAAATACAGGGAGCGATCACCCACTAGTTACCATCACAGACAGGGAAATTAAACTAATTTATTTTAATTAGTTTAATTTATTACCAATTAAACAGAGCAGGATAATGAGAAGGAAAGCATGATTATGACCATCTGGGATTTTCCACTCTCACTCTTCCTTGCAATACTGCAATTATTTAATTTAGACTCCCTCCCTACCAAAACATGGCCACACAAACCAAACACAGGTCTATATATTCTTTTATATCATCTCATCAGAACAGCAGCAAGAGCTTGTGGAGGTAGAATTGGGATGGTCAGGATAGCACCAATGAAAGTCTGTTGAGCTACTGATGTCCCAAAAGAAAAGTTTGCAAGAGGCACCAGCGTCACTCAGCTGGGCACAGCCTGATAACGAAGTGAGAATTCACATAGTACTGATTCATCGCTTCTCACCTTTGTGAGCTGCAACATTTCCTGGTGTTTGAATTTCTACTGTGTAGCTGAACCCCTAATACTGAAAAGGGAAATGAAGAAATACTGACAATGCTCCTGGTCCCTCAACTAAATAGTACTGAAGGCTTTGCCTCCCATTTTCATTGCCATCACTTGTTGCCGTAGGTGGTGTTGCTCAAAACTGTAAAGTTCCTCCTATTCCTATGGATTTTGGAGAGCAGTGTAATGATGTGGTTGTGGATTGTGTAACACAGCTACAACTACTTCTTCTTAGCACTTTTGAACACTTTCGACTGGGTCAGTGTCAAAAATATCAATGGAACTTCCTCTGTCTCCTCTTCCCCCTTGTTGTGGGTCCATCTACAAGGACAGCTAAAACAAGAAGTGTGTGTGGGCTCAGTTCCCTGTAAATCCCTTCTAAATGATCCCCTAGTGATGATAAAGAGGCTAATGACTAAATTTTATTGTATATGTAATTTTTTTAGAGATTCACTTTCAAAAAACAACTCTGCTGGGATATTTGAAGATATCACTTGTTAGTTTTAAAAGTGAATTTTTTAGGTCTTGTGTTATAGGTACAGGAGAATTCCTGGAGAATTAAAAAACAGAGGAGTAACAAAAAGAACACAGTGTTTGTTATTCTTGAGCTGATCTCATGATTTTTGGTTTTCTGATTCATGATTCTGTCATGGTGATGGTAATATGGGTGTCATGTAATGGAAATAAACAGGCCCTCCACTATTTCTGCTTCTGCCTAAGTGGTCCTGTTTTTTAAAGTACACAAGTCCTCCATTACTGGTTGCTGGGATTAATCACACAAATAAATTATAGTTTTATAGGAAAAGAGAGAACTGCTAAGTGTAGCTCTGTTATTCTCTGTGTCCTGAGCCTACCTGTAATGTGGATTCAGTGTTTAGGGAAGATTTCTGTTTGATGTGACAACTGCAGGCTCAAAAAAGAAAGAAAATTAGTTCTGGGCAATGCCAGCTTCTGTTCTCACTTATTTGTTCCTGAAGGGGCTTTTTTCGGCAATAACGAAGAAACAGCGACCCTGAATTTTGATGTGAAATTATAAAATGGAGAACTGGTACAGTTTTGCTTGCATAATTTCTGCCCTAAGAGGAGCCATGTTTCTTAAGCCTGGAACATATTTTGGATGCACCTGGAAAAGAAACATAATGGTATTGTTTTCAAATATTCTTTGAACAATGCCTTGTGTTTCTTCATCCCATGCTTCCAGTCCCAGTAAAAATTAAATATGATTAAAAGTAGTAGATACCCCATCTCTTTCAAATCCCAAAGATTTGGTCTCTTTCAAATCCTAGATGAAAGACTTGTTTCCTGAATATGGGTGTGACCAAAGAAAGCAAACATGGAAAATGGAAAAATATTACAGAATAAATAGCAAATAAACCTGTTGTAACCACTCACAGAAAGAAAATATCCACAGCCAGACTGAGGCTCTATCAAGCTCTTCTCCCCTCAGAAATGTTTTTGCAGAAGTCTGGGGGCTTTGTTTTACTTATTGAGCTTTGACTGTATCTATTGCCAGCCCATACACATCCCATGCTCTGAAGTGAAAATTTGCCTGCCCAGGCTTTTAGTTCTGTCCCTGCAGTGGAGAACTTGGGGGACATTTCTGTGCAGAACCTTTTTCAGTCTTTGTTTTAGTCAATACATGACTTCAGGGCAATCTTTCAGAGTGTAGATACCCAAGACAGGGTAACTTTGCATAGCTTTTAGACTCTCCGGGAGGAAATGTGTTCAAAATCAAGCACACACAAGGGTGCGTTGCTTGGTTCCAGTGAATTTTTGGATTCCATGTGTCATCTGATTTCAGTACTCTTTCCCTACCAAACTTGGCATTTTCATAGGGCAACTTCAGAATTTCCACAGAAACTGACATTTTCAAAATTTGTGAAACTTCTGGAGTTCAGGGAACTGAAGCCCTTTAATTTGTTATGATTTTGATTTGCTTTGTTTTAAATGAATGGCATTTGAAGGTACTGGGCACTTGATAAAGTATGCTGAGCACGTTCAGATCTGATGTGGAAGAATATGCTTGCCAGATAGTGGGCAAATATTGTGCAGTCCTGGATTTAATTTTTCTGCTGTATTGAGGGGGCTCCTAATTCCTTGCTTTGCATGAAATGCAAGGAAGCTCCTCTTCTGAGGGAAGCTGCCATGGTGTGTTATCCCTTTTCTAGTCTTACTCATCATAGCCCTGATGAACATGCTCTTCCAAAGGCCAGGTTAAAATACCTGGTTCTCACTCTGTGTGCTGGGAACCCACCCACAGACAAGATAGTCTCATCAAAGATATTTTTCTTACTCCCTCATGATCAGCTGAGTCAGTGCACCAAGTCAGCAGCTGGCAAATATCACGCCTTAGAAACACAAAATAGGCCACTGCAAATCCCATGAGAGGATAAAGCCCATTGCTTACTTGAGTTCTCAATCAAAACTGAGTGTGGAAGTGAAGAATAAGACCAAGTGGAGTTTATTTCTTCATTCTTCCACCCTCTTGAAACTCAAGATGGCCCTTACTGTGGCCCAGATTTAAAAATTAGGTTTTTCCTTTGTTTATCTGCAACCATATTCATCTCAGTCACTAAGCTAATAACAGTGCTTGCTTTCCAGATCTGTTAAAAAATAAGAGAAATCTTTCAGGAGGGTAGTAGCACTGGAAATTCTGCACGCAGTGAGCTAAAGAGACTGTCTCTACACCCAAACAATAACCTCTTTCTCACTGTTTTTGGAAACCAATTTCTCTAATTGTGAGCAATGGTGTCCCATTAGTATCAATGGCTCTGCTTGTTTGAAATATAAAAAAAGTACTGGGTGCTGGCCAAGGCTTCACAGATTTCTTTGGGCTCAGAGGTTTGAGACAATTTCAATTTAAAGATTTGCTGTTTGTTTCCTGATTCTTTTTAGCTTGCTTTTCAAGACTTGTAGTTATGCTTTGAACAAATTCAGTAAAAAGTAAGTTAATCAGTTCAATAGATCGGGGTCTTTCATATCATGCATCTAGGTTGTGGGGTTTTTTAGAGGACAGAAGCTAATTTTAGCATCTATTATCAGTAAACTGATGCAAATGTTTGGAAATTAGTCATTTGAACCATGTCAGAGCTATTCCAACCTTTCTGTTCTAGGTCAGATCTTATCAGATTCAAGTGAATTTATCTGCATTGTCAACAAGTAGTTTTCATGTTTACTCAAAAACGCTGTGCCATCCTTTCTTGTTAAGAACATTTGCTATGTTGGCACAGCTGTAGGAAGAATGTGAAGAGTCTGGGGTGGAGACTGGACTGTAGCCTGTGCTCTGGTTTTGATCTTCATGCCCTGGTTAATCTTCTGCAGTTTCCTTTAGTCTTTTGCTCCTACTTCTCAGTTCATAGCACTTCCAGAGCTTTGTGCTAGTTATCTTTGGTTTCAAGCCAAAGTTGATTCACTCAATGTGAATACTTCATGCTCATTTGTCCTTGTACCAGCATAGTCCCGAGGTAGAAACAGCTCTTTGTGGACATCACACCTGCTCTCAGTTCTTGTTTATCAGTAAAACTCCGTTTAGTCTCCCCTTGTAAGATGGGCTCTCCCTTCCCTCATGTGCCTCACAGCACCTTCTTGATATCTGCTCCTGTCTCAATATTTCTCCTTCCACCAAAGTTTTTGGGAAGGTTTGTGGTTTGGTTAGAGGCATAATATAGACACTTAGAATTTTCCAAAATAACCGTGGCAGAGCTGGGAACAGCCTAACTTCACTTTCATCTTTAGAACTCATTTTAGTTTAAAAGCCAGGGTTTTACATTCTGCACATGGACAGATTTTGCTTCTCATCTTTTTTACCTGCACCAGGAAACCAGGTGTTCTGACAACATATGTTGACTGATATTGTGGGGTTTTTTTCTAGGGAGGTTCAGCTTTTTCTCCAGCATCCATAATTACTACAAGGAGAGCACAGACCCAAGCAGCAGCCCTGGCTGAAGATGTGGGATGCCCTTCATCCACCAGTGAGGAAATTGTAGCCTGCCTTCGCCAGTTGCCTGCTCGTGTCCTCAATGATGCTCAAACTAAGGTATAATGTAGCAAAACATATGCCATTGGCAAGGAATCAGAACGTTTCCATTCACACAAAACTGTGAGAAAGCTTAAAAAATAATTTAGTCTGAATCCTTGTGGAATAGGAACCAGACTATTTTTGGTGGAAGGAAGCTGTTGTCTGTGACATCCAGCTCTGAGCTATGAAAATTCACAGTTTGATTCTCCTTTAGACTAAATTCCTCTTACACTGCTTTAATCATGTCCTCTAAAAAAATCTAAATATTGTTTTTTGCCTTCTTTCAGTTCCCTCTTGCCTGCCACTGGGTGTTACTCTAGAGGAGAGTCAAATGTCTCTAGCTTTAATAACAGAATTTATGCAGAAAACAAAGCAGGATGGGATGTCAGTATTCTGTATTTGAAGTGGGAGGCTTGTGAAAGCTGCAGTATAAATAATTCTAGAGATGGATCCTTTACCCACAAATTAAAACACTTACTGGCAATAAGTTTTCTAATGAGGACCAGCATGGAGTCAATCCCTAGTTTAAAGCAACATTTTTGTGACTATAAGACTATAATTTCTCTTGGCCTCTTTACTTTGTTTCTCCTACTGAGACTGTCAGCAAAATCATTGTTTCGTATCGATATATATATAATATGAGTTTGCACTTATATTACCTGGTCAATTGTTCACTTGAAGGGAATCAGATCAGTTGAACTAAGCATAAATAAAATAGAATTTAAAGGGTAAACTGAATTAATGGCAAAATTCTTGCTCTTTTTTTTTTTTCCCAACATAGCTGCTAGCTATCAGTGGCCCATTCCAATACTGGGGTCCCGTGATGGATGGAATTTACCTCCGGGAACCTTTGGCTAAAGCCCTGCAGCGCCCTCAGCTTCAGAAAGTAGATCTGCTCATTGGAAGTGCTCAGCAAGATGGTCTCATCAGCAGAGCCAAGGCAATTAAGGTAGGAAGACACTCACTGTTAATGAACTGATGGTATCACAGTGATTACAGTGACAACAGTAATCATATGCAGCCTGGAGAGATGCTTTCTGATTTCTGCAAGTTGTGAATTATGCTCCATAGAAATATGCAAATGCATTGTCCTTCTCTGGCCAGTCTTGGTCAGGATGACTAATGGCATAATAATATTTGTTGATTAATATTTCTGTGGGAGATATGAAAAGGTAAGAGACCAGAAGTGATTTAGTACTTATGTTCTATTGTGTTTAAAATCCTATTTATATTTCAATCTCAGTAGTATCTCACAAAGAAAAAAGCAATTTGATTATAAATTTCTTCACTGTGCAGCAGGATTAAGTCAGCATTTTGAGGTTTTTTAGCAGTCTTTTCCTTTGTTGTCTCCTAGAAGTACATTTTCTTGTAAAGATGATTGTGAGTATGGACTAACTGTAATAAAGAGCAGCACTGGCCTGATGTGTGGTCTAAATTTCCTTACTGAAACTGGTGAAAACAAAAAGAATTGTGTCCATGCTTGCAATATCTTGCAATAACTCTGTGGATTTCACCTCTTAGAAGGCAGTGAAATGTCAGTCCCAGCTTCTCTTTTCTGGTGGCCAATAGCACATGGACTATTTTAATTCAGAATTAATGGCTCCCCTGAATTAAGTTCATATTACTTGTTTACTGTCTATCAGAACTTTCCTTCTCTTTTTTCATATATTTTTCTCTTTTGGAATCAATTTCAAGAGAAAGTCATAGGAGAAAGGCACAGAAGATATAGTGTGATGACGAAGGCCTGCAGATAATGATCCAGACCCTGTGAGAGGGGAGCAAACCTCAGTGACTTCATTACAAGTCCTGTGATGAAGATTAGGAAGTGAAATTCTTTCCTTTACCACTGTTTGTGCATGAGACAGTTGTCTGCAAAATTGAGATGAAATTCCATGTTGTATTAAAATTTTTGCAACAGATCATGGTGTTGATGAAAGGCACAAGTGCTAAATCCCAGCATGGTCAGCTTGAAATGAAAAGAAAAAACACTTGCAAATGAGAGTTTAGCAGGAAAATGTTACCTGTCCAAAAATAAAATCTGAAATATCTTTTTTATTTAAAGGCTTGCAGAAAATAAGGTTGGAAGGGAACTCAGTAAGTTGGTGCAACTCAACCATAAGAAAGTGTCATATATACTGATGATTTTTTTAATGCACCTTTTCCTGTATTGCTATTTTTCTGTGGCTTCAGGCTTTTGGGACTTGAGGGAATAGGAATGTTTTGACCAGTCTTTATTCCTGTCTGGGTTGTTTTCTTAAAGTCTTGCTGCAAGGTTGAAGTTTCCTGATTTCTCCCTTGTCAACACAGGGTATTAATTGCTGGGAAAGTGTAATGCTCCTTCCATCACTGAGCTGCTTCAGAACTTGCATTCTCCAGGTCCTCAGCAGCATTTCTATGTGCCAGCCATGACCATGTATGGTTGCAGTCAGTCTGATGATGAATCCTGGATAAGCCACAGATATATTTAGCAACAGTGACAAAAACTAGTGCAGATGGTGGTTGTTACTTGGAAGTTTGTGCCCCATTTCCTCTGTCATAAATGTCACCAGAGGTCTTTAACGTGTGCTAAATGTCCTCTCCTCACAATAGACCTTGAAGATTTGAGACAATCCATGCCGTATCCCAATCATCTACATTATTGCTTTTAAGGGTTTCTTTGAGGTAAATCTCACTTACACCTCTCTAGGAACAGCCAAAGCTGGTTTTACTGGTACACTAAGGAGTGTGGGAAGACTTAGCTGGTGGACAGAGCACTGAACTGAACTTGGGGAACCAAGGCATAATTACTAGTTTGCCTTTGACTATGCCCAAAGTATTTAATCTGTTCTAAAAAGAGGGAACCAAACCTCCTTGGGGTGAAAATCCACCTCTGGCTGTGTTCCTGCTCTGCAGAGAGAAGATCCATGCATGTATTTCAGTAGACAAACATAGCTAAAAGGTGCTCTGGCAAGCACATGGAACTGGCAAAGTCCTAATTTCCAACTTCTTTAGGATGGATGATTTCAGTGTAGAGAGTGTGAAGAGTGAGGGGTAAAACCATTTAACCCCTACCGACTTTCTCTACCAGTTCTTGGGAATAACTGTGCTGGGCAATTCAGTCAAGGACTTGCTCTAGCAATCCTGATTTCTCTTAGTTTTGATCCTGTAAATCCTGTAAACTTTTAGCCATTTGGATGCAAGCAAGCTTGAGACATGATGGAAAGCTTATCACCTTAGACTGAAGTTGCATGTAAGTGTTGTAAGTGTTATAAACTCTTCACACTCCTCACATAGAAGTGAGAGAGAAACCTCTAGACTGCAAGCAGACCAGAAGGTGGAAAATCCAGTTGGCACCATGTTATTCTGTGGGATCTTACTGGCCTTGGGTTACACTGGGTGTCCCTGAACTCCCACTGCAACACTGCACTTGTGCCTATTAAGGTCTTTGCTATTAAAAATGTATCAGTAAGACATAAGGTACCACTCATGTGCTAGCAAAACATTTATGTTTGATTTGCTTACAATTAAAGGCTGAGGTCTCTCAGTTTGCAGCAGGGAGTATGCCCATGAAACGTCCATTTTGTGGCATTCACTGAAATGCTTATTCATGTGAACTGAGACAGATTCATCACTTCCTGGAGCACTTCCTACTCATCCTCAGTGCAGCCATCACAAGGTTGAAACTAAGTGAGAAACAAAGCAGTTTGTTAAGGGAATGGCAAGTGGCACCATAATACACTAATATGTGACATATGGAGTGGTTAAGCCTGAACCCATTCACTGCAATTCCCATGGCAGACCTTCAGGGAATATTAGCTTTGAGCAGTCATAGATTAGGGCAGCTGAGCAGAAACCTCTAAAAATGTTGCTTTCAATTCCCAACTGGACAAAATTTTGTCCCTGTCCTATATGTGATGCTCAGGCAGGAGGACCTAATGGCATTACATTTATGGATTCACTCATGCTGCTCCATGTCTGTGTTCATCTGTATATGCATGGAGGTCAGTATATCCCAGTCTGTATCCTCCACTTCTTAAGTACCTACTATGTAATCTCCACATTGCGAGGATTTTGTTGAAAGACTGAGGTTGTAACTCATATATTTATTTTCTTTTTCTTTTCCTCCTTAGTATAATCTAGTTGGATGCAGAACCCAAACCCAGGATATAGGGGAATGGGTAGATAGAAATCTAGTTTATTTACCTCATGTAAGCAAACAGAACTACCATCCTGCACTTTATTACAGTCAGTTAATTTCTTTATGGAAAAAGGTATTCAGCAATATACAACAGGTGGTAGATATGTGTATATTTATTGTAATGACCAGGGGAGAAATGTCTCCATAAATGCCATCAGTGAGGAGAATGGGATGAACTCTTTACTTCATATCAAAACTAGTTAGAATTCTTGGAAGACTGCTGAATAGTGGCAGATCTTTCACCATCTCTTGTGACAGTGTTTGTCAAAAGCCATTTAAAGCCCCAGATCTGTACGTGCACTGTTAGCATTATCACTGTTCCAGTTTGTTGGAAAAGTACATTTTTCCCCTTGGAAGATGTAAATATTTGGTCTACCTACTGCTACAATTTCCTTTTAAGTGAAACCCTGGGCCAGTTTCACTCATATGCTCCATAAGATATCATGCAGCAACAAGAACATTAAGCAGTATTTAACTCATAATTTAGGCAATGTTTATGATTTTGAATCATCAGAAGAGTAGAAAGAAGTGCACCTACCGCCTTTAGTTATTTTCTTAAATACTTTCTTAGAAAATCCCATTATAACTCTGAGGCCAATTCCTAATGCCTCTTTAAAAGTCAGCAAAATGTGAATTATTTTACATGATGTGCAGCTGTTTGTATTAATCTAGTAGCAGCTGTTGTATCTACTGTGATTTGAAAATTGTTCCTTGGTCATATATTTTATAATGGGAACATATGTTGGACATGGAAAATTGGTTGAATTGAATGTTTCTGAGAAGTTAAAATATTTTGTCCTTTTAATATTTAATGAATTTTACTTTGAACATATTGCTTTGATTTTGGCTATTATCTTTAAGTCAGATGTTTAAATTATACTGTAGCCAAAGCAATGCTTAAGAAATTGTTTCAGGTTGTGCTATTTTAGTGCTGTTTGAGGGATGAAAATTCTTACCATCTTACCATCTTCTCTTTATCATCCATCTCTGCCTGAGCCCTCTTTCACGAGTCAACATGTCTTGAGGGCCTCACAGTGCTATATTTTATATATATATGAAATTATTCTGAGAAAATTGCAATTTTTGGGGCATTTTGAAGACCACAGAAATCCATACATAGGCACAGTGAATCATAGAATCATAGAGTAGAATCACAGAGTATGCTGAGTTGGAAGGGACCTTTCAAGATTGAGTGCAACTTGTGTCCCTGCCCAGGACAGCCCAAAGGTCCCACCGTGTGCCTGAGGGCATTGTGCAAACACTTGTTGAAATCAGACAGGCTCAGTGCTGTGACTGTTCCAATGCCCAACCACCCACTGGGTGAAGAACCTTTTCCTGACATTCACCTAAACCTTTCCTGACACTACTTCAGGTCATTCCCTTAGGTCCTGTCATTGTTCATGAGAGTGAAAAGATGAGTGCCTGCCTGTCCACTTCCCCTCACAAAGAAATTGTAACTGCAATGAGGTCTCCCCTCAGTCTCCTCCAGGCTGAAGAGACCAAGTGATCTCAGCTGCTCCTCATATGCCTTCTCCTCCAGACCCTTCACCATCTTTGTGACCCTTCTTTGAATATTTTCTTTGAATCTTTGAAACCCTCTCTTAAAATCTTTTTTTATATTGCATTTTTATATTAGAATAATATTATCATTATATTATTGTTATTATTCTAAATATGATATTATTATATATTATACTATATATATTATATTATATATATTATATCTAGTATATTGTCTATTATCTATTGTATAATTATCATATTATTTATATTATTGTATATTTTTATATTTAAAACTGCACAAAGTTCTTGAGGTAAGGCAGCCCCAGTGCAGAGCAGAGCAGGACATTCCCCTCCCTTGCCCTGGCAATTTAGTGTCATCAGCAAACTTCCTTTGAGTTCTGTGCCCAGGTCATTAAAGAAGATGCTGAAAAGAGCTGGGCCAAGGATGGAGCCCTGCAGAACCCCACTAGGGACCAGCCACCAGCCTGATGTCACCCCATTCCATGCACCCCTTGGTGCCTGACCCGTCAGTCGGTTGCTCACCAATCATGTAGCACAGTAATTCAGCTGAAAGCTGGACATTTTGTCCTGAAGGATTGTGTGAGAGGCAGCATCAAAAGCTTTGCTGAAATCCAAAGAGATTACATTTACTGGCTTTCCCAGATCAACTAGGTGGGTTACCTTGTCATAAAAGGAAATCAGGTTTGATAGGCAGGACTTTCCCCTCATGAAGCTGTGCTGACTGAGACCAATGGCTGTGCTGTCTTTCAGGTGTTTTTCAATACCTCCCAGAATAATCTCCATAACTTTACCAGGCACTGAAGTGAGACTGACAGGCCTGTGGTTCCCTGTCCTTCTTCAAAATTGGGACAGTGTTGATCAACTTCCAGTTAACTGTGGCCTCTCCTGATTCCCAAGACTCCCAAAAATCATCGAGAGAGACTTTGGAATACCATGAGCCAGCTCATTGAGGATTCTCAGCTGAATCCCATCAGGCCCCATGGATTTGTAGGGATCCAGCTGGAGCAGCAGATCCCACACAATTTCAGTCGACTGGGAGCTGATCGTTCTCACAGTCATGTCTTCCAGCTCAGGGCACTGAGGCCCTCATTGTCCATCATCAGTGTTGAAGACAGAGGCAAAGAAAGTGTTGAACATCTCTGCCTTGTCCATGTCCCTGTGGAGGAAGTGACCATCTTTATTCTGTATGATTTTGGTTTTAGATTTTCTTTTTAATTCAAAAACTTTTTCATGAAACTTCATTTTTGCCAATTTTTGGCATTTACAAAAACATTTGACAGGGATTTGTCACCTTAACCATATGTTGGTGTATGATGATCCATCTTCTTCTCTGTGGTTTTCAACTATAACCTTTATTTGATACTTGACCATTGATGAGACAGTGATGGATCACTTCCTAAATTCATAATCAATACCCTAAGGTTTTTCTCACTTAGTTTCTGTCTGGTTTAAGTATCCATGACAAGAGTAGAACAAGTTAACAAATCCCTTTTAAAAAGCTAACCATGCATGAAAGTTGCTTGTATGGGTTGATTTATACACAGGAGATTGGGCTTTGCTCTGCCAGGGAAAAGTATCTTTTCTCACCAACAAGTTCTAACCCCAGTCTTCAAATGAGAGATTCTTAACAAAGCAATGCTTCTGCTGGTTAGGAGAAACCTGAACTGATGTGTGCCAAAGCTGTGATGGAAAAATTGCTTTTGAATTCAATGAACTTGCAGTCTGATCTTCAGTGATCTTTTCTATTTCCTGCAGAAGAATATGTGTGTTCTTACTGGTTTTAAGCTGAATGATTTAATAGGCAAGAGTGCTGTGCAATTTCATATGTGGCATTTGTGCACATGAAGTGACGTGACAGGAGTGAGCTCCCCATCTTTTTCAAAGTACAGCTGTATTACTAAAGCTGGCACCACATGACTATTTCACATTGCATGGGCCAAAATCCAGCAAAAGAAGAATCTATTAAAAATACAAGGAAAATTGCCAAGATCTTCTTGGACCTTGGAATACTTGGTAGAGTTTTCAAATCCTTTAAAGTCACTTATTCAAAATGCACAGAGTGTTAGAATACTAAGGACAAACCTCAGCCTCAGCACATGGGAACTTATTTTCCATCTTTCATTTCTGTGAATCTACTGAAAAGTTATTATTCCATCTGTACTTTCTGTATAACGTTGTGGAAAGACCTTCTAGCAGCATGATGAAAACCAGCTGTGGGCCATCGAAATAATATATTAAAGCATCTACAGTAACTAAACTGGGCAGACACTGGCCTAGTTTGCATCAGACTGACTGCCCAAAATAATAGAGGTGGTTTGTTAGATCTTTTCTCTGGAGCTCTTACCCAAGTTTCAAGCAATATGCACCTGTATAGTGTCCTCTTGGAAAGGACTTGATGCACAAGAAAGTTCAGGGTAGATTTTAATTTTTTTTTTCATGAAGATGTTTTGTTTCTGAAATTGAAATATTTTTTTTAAAAAGTGTAAAGTTTCAACTAATAACATAGAAAGCTTCCTTAAGGAAAGATGTGTTGAAAAATTCCAGCAGTCTTTAGGTTTGGTAAAAATATGTTTGGATTCACAGTTTGGTGTAGAAGATGGTCCCTGTGACGTGGGCACTTTGCTCTGGGGAACGTGCCTTTATGTTAGGAAAGGTTCCAGATCTCAGGAAAAAGGGCATTTCCCTGTTGGTTTCTCTGAAAGGCCCTAGGGGTTATGAAGTTTGAAGATCATGGCTCTTTCCTGCATTGGGATTTGGAGGAATGAATATCTTCCAGGTCTAAGGCAGATATTATTCCAGAAGGGACCTAAATACAGAACTTGGAGCAGCCATGTTCCTTTGTAGGTGTTCCCAGAAGAGGCAGAGTGACATAGCCATTAAATGGTCTATACAGCATGTTTGCTTTCGGGGATTTTCAAAGGAAAAGAACAGCAACTCCCTCTTTCCCCTCTAGTTTTATTCATGGAGATCATCAGAATGACAGCACTGGACACACATGCAGTGGAGGACTGTTCCTGGAAACCCCTTCTGTGAGAGCCAGCAGGATTTCTGTACTATCAGAGATCCATCAGCACAGTTTGGTACCTATGATTTGGATCTACTAGATCAGGGGCTCTGCACTACAGTGTGTCCAGAGGAAGCCAGTATTTCTCATTGGTGACAGCGTTGGGAAAGCAAAAGTAGGACTGTCCCCTACTCAATCCCCTAGGAATTGGAGATCACAGCAGAGAGGACTTGTTCCAGCAGAGGGAGATCTGAGCCTACATTGTTCCACTAAAAAAATTATCATTTGGTTTTGTTTCTGAATTCCATGTATGCACTTTTTTCTCAGAAATTTGAAGAAAGTCAAGGAAGAGCCAACAGCAAGACAGCCTTTTATCAGGCTCTGCAAAATTCTCTAGGAGGAGAAGAGTCCAATTCATTCATTGAAGATGCAGCTACGTGGTATTACTCCCTGGAACACTCAACTGATGATTATTCATCCTTTTCCAGGGCGTTGGAAAACGCCACCCGGTAAGAAAGTCATCCTCCTACAACTGTGTGATTGGAGTTGAGCAAGGTTTGTTTTGCTTATCTAAAGTGTGCATTTATATTCTGAAAAACTTGAGAAATTCTTATGCAAATGAACAGAAAATGGGGAATACGATTTCATTTTCTCTGAGGTTTCTAATTGCATTGGTAAACAAAAATTGAACTGATTTTTATGCCTTGTGAGAAGTTTGACAAGTCTTTCTAGAGCTGGATATCGAGTTCAGACTACTAATGCTTCTTTTTGCATTTTCATGTCACAGTTGTCTGTATTGCTTGCACACTGTGCATCAACAGTTTCGTGAGTTGTCTCATCCCTGTGACAGTAGAATTAATAGTCTGCCTTTTATTCCCAGTCCCCTAATTATACAGTCAGATACTTTTTCTTGGTGGTCAGATTTGAAAACTTTGATTTCAGCAATTACATTTTTTTTTTTTATTATGAAGGCTGCAAAATACATTTATTCACAATGTCAGCCATGACTTGAAGCCATTTCCTTTTGCTTGTTAATTCAGAGAAGAAACTAATCCTCACCTCACTACAACCTCCTTTCAGGCAGTTGTAAAGAGCAACAGAGTTCCCCCTGAGCCTTTTTTTCTCCAGGCTGAACACCCCCAGCTCCTTCAGAGGCTCCTCATCAGACTGTGTTCCAGAACCTTCCCTACTTCACTGCCCTGTCTGGACAGGTCCAGCACCTCATGCATGTCAGCAGAGGAATAAGCAACCTTCCTCCACTAAATGCATTCCCATCCTCTGCATTGAAACATTGCATGGACCTTTAGGAGGTGGAAGTTGAAAACTTCCTGTTTTCTGCCTCTGAGCAAATTCAGGGACTGAATGTTTAAGTGGAACAGATTTTCCAGAAATGAATCAAAAAAACTATTCCCCTATTCCTGTCTCTGCTTTATGAGCAGATTAATTGTGAAAACTCTTTACTTTTCTAATGTGATACAGCTTATAAACTAGTAACTTGAATCCTAATTAGCCTGTCCAAGATGTTCCAGCAAAGATGTCAAACAGGGCCTGTCTAAGATGTTCCACCTGTTCCACCTGTGTCCTGAGCTGAGACATCATAGCTACAGGCTCTTGGTATCTGCACCCTCAGTGTTCTTGTTCCCACTGTGAGCCTCTCCACAACACCTCAGAGACAGGGTTTTCCTTTTCTTCCTCCATCAGAGCTGCAGAACATTGCTCTGGGAAAGCCTTAGGGAGCAGGAGATGAACAGGAGCCAAGATTCTCTTGGAACATCTGACTCAAAAAGTGGACAGTAGTTTCTGGGTGGTCCAGGTGTGCCGGTGCACTGAGATCATGGAAGAAACAAGCCAGAGGGTTGTGGGCTGAGCTTTGTGCCATTTATCAACTCGCACATCTTGCCACATTTCTTCTCCTTTGTAGCATATCCCAGGGATGGGCCTCCCATCACCATGACATCTGGGGCCATTGCCTGCAGTACTTGTAGAAGCACTGTTGTCCACGGGCATCAAAGCCAGAACTTGTCTTCAGTCTCCTTCCATCAACTCTGTTACCCCTGGGGGGTAATTCTTTAGATCAGTGAGGTTTTAAGCCAGAATAAACTACTGTAGGACTTACATTTTAACCATTCTTTCTACCCAGAGATTCCTCTATAAGGAGCTGTTACAACACAAGGCTGTCACATTTATTCACTGGCATCCAGCCCAGGGGTCAGTGTGGTTCAAACACTGACTTTTGAAAAGCTGTAAGGGCTGGCACTCCACATTTCCAGCAGGAATGGGATACACCAACAGCTCCTCAGGCTCAGCAGCTCCTGGCTGTAGGGGTTACCTGCTCCTTTATGAGATGAGACAAATACCTTGGCTAAGGAAAAAAGTGGCCAGCTTATTCCTGGCAAAGCAAAAGGATGAGTAGTGAGACCAAGGCATCTGCTAATACTTTGCTTCAAGCACTCTGGAAATTACTCCAACAGCAGAAAGTGAGGTGAAACAGTAGGTACAGAATAAGAGTCACCTATATCAGCATCACATACATGGTAAAGAAAACAGGGGAATGGTTCTGGGTTTCTTTGATGTTTGGTTGGTTGGTTTGGTTTTGGGATTTTTCTTGTTAGTTTTGTTTCTTTTTAACAAAAAACTTACTACCAGAACAGATGTGTAAGCCAATAAAAGTTTTATGTCAGGAATTAACTGCTAAAGTTTTAACAGGATTACCAAGTGTGATAAAGAAATATAAGTGGTTGCTATAAACTACATACATTGTGCATATTTTGTGGTTTTAAAATAATTCTACTTTTAAATTTGTTTTAGCTGCAATTTTCTGGTATTTTTTCCCCAAGTGTAAAATTAGTTTAATTTTTTTTTTTTTTTTTTTTTTTTTTTTTTTTTTTTTTTTTTTTTTCTTTAAACCCTGGTATTTCATGGCTGTAAGGGACAGCTGTTTCATTTTTGTGGTTACTATGTATTTAAGTTTTTTTCTACTTCCTCAGAAGAGCTGACTTTTACCCCCACCCCCTCCCACAGTGCCAACTGAGAATCCATTTTAAATGGTGAAATGTATCTCAAAGCATTTCTTGTGAGTTATTGCTCTCCCCAGACTCCCTAGTTTTCAATGACTGCTCCTCTAAAGCCCCATGCCGGTAGGCATGTGAAGAGCAGTAACTTTTGTTTCATTTGGGTGTTGTCAACCATAACTGTCAAAGAGCCCTGTGGTCAGTCAGCCCAAAACTTGTGGTCTCACAGATGAGCTTAAAATAAACTCTGCAGAACCGAGATAGCTACCCAAACAGTGCCTTTCATAACCATTCCAGTTAAAAATAGCAACATGTTTTTATGCTTCTCTGACACTGTTCGTTCTTGAACCAGTCTTTTTTTCTTTTTTAACCTACCAAGTCTGAAGGAGAAGCTGCTGTTTCAGATTCACTAAACTGAGAATTGAAACCTCCCACTTCCCCAGCAGATATCTTTGTGTGCACTCATCTAGGTAAAGGTATATAAACGCCCAAAGCATGGGCTATCCTCAGGCACAGGAGGGATGGGGAGTGGTGATACATGTGTAAATAACATTGCCTTGAGGAATCACAGTGAGATAAATTGCACTGAGGTCTCCTCTCTTCTCTTGATCTGCTCGTGCTTCTTCCAGCTACTGCTTACCCCACATTCCAATCCCACCTCTAGGGGAAAGGGAAAGGTAGGAAGGTTTGGACACATTTGCTTGACTTGTACCTTTTAGAACTGGTGTGAAATCAATCATTTGACTTTCTCATTGCACTCTTATTGGTTAATCTTTCTCTCCCAGATATATTGCACCAGAAATTCCATATTGATGAGCCCTGCAGGTTACCTTCAAAAGTGGTCTCTTATCTCTTCCAGCTCTGGAAACTCTACAGAAATCTCACAGATACAAATTCAGAAATTATGTTATTGATCCTTAACCCAGGAAATATATAAGACCTCTTATTAGATGCCCTCACAACCTAGTGGTGCCAGAAAGAACTTAAACCTATTATAAGCATGAGCCCTTATAAACTAGACTAAAATGGGATTTTTTAATTTTTTTTTTTTTGCCAGGATATATTTTATGTGTCAGATCTGGTTGTTTTACTATCATTGTTCAACACTCCATCAAGCAGCACTTCTAGTGAATTCTAAATAGTACTAGTCTTGTAGAGGGTGAGGGTGCTTTCCTTCAGTTGATTTAAAGACAGACATATGAGCTGGTTTGGAAAATTAGAAATTGAAAACTATCGAGATAGAGAGAGGTCTATTGCTTTTGAGGGTTCTTCCCTTTCTTCCTTTATGCAACTGTGTCTGCTCTCTGCTCCTCCTTTTTTATCAGTGACCAGTTTATCACGTGTCCCATCATAAACATGGCGAGTCACTGGGCTGCCTCTCGAGGAAATGTCTTCATGTACCACGTACCTGAGAGCTCCTCACAGAGCAGGTAAGGAGATGGATTTTATTATGTTTCTTAGATTTAGAGTTTGTAAAACCAGGGCAGACTGCTTGGGCGTGCTGTGGAATAAATGAATAGATGTAAGTACATCAAATAAACAGTTTAGATGAGCAAAGGAGGGATTGGTCTCTAATAAATTCTTTAACTATACAGTAATGCTTTTTCTGAACTGAAGCACTTCCCATTAGATGTCTAAACTGAGTTTCCTCTTTCCAACTTACCTACCTTGACCAGCTCCAAAGTTACCTTTCAGATTTCTGCTCTGCATCTGATAAACCTCCCACAAAGAGTCAGAATGTGGTCCAAGTCATGAGGAGTCCACGGCTCTCAAGATAAATGGGGTATCATTTTCTAATTACTCAATAATAATTCAACACTGCCCTTTTTTGAGGTCAGTGCAGTTGTACCCTAGTTGTACTGACTGGCCTTCAGTGTTGATGAGCTCAGGGATTTATTTCCTCCTGCTCCAACATGTGACTGATGCTCTACCAACAGACTGTCCCATGGGAAGAAAAATATTTATGCACACAGGCATTGGTGGACTCAGGCTCTGTGTCATCCTTCATTTTAGAAGTTTACTTGAAAGATTGTCAGCAGGAAAAGCTCTGTTATATTTCAGGTAGAAAGGCCTAAGTGGCTGTGGGAGATGTGATGTTTTGTTGGGCACAGAACAACCTGGCAGGCAGAGGCCTTTAAGGTGACATTCCCTGGGTTTATTTTAGACCCAGCCCTTGGCAGAAGTCAGGAAGAGGCGCTGATGTTTGCAGTGGGCAGCACTTTGGGCTGCCCTGTGAGCGGCTCCTGCTCTCAAAGGCATAGTGACCAGAAACTGCAGCGACAGTCCCCCTTCTGTTCCTGAATCCACACACCAGGGCAGGAGAGCACACAGGGTGTGCTTATCCTCATACTGTTTCCTTATGAGGAAGCTGTGCTTGTTCCCTGCCCCCTGGACTGCCCCTCACTGCTCTCCAGGAAGGCTTTTTGAGACCTTTCCTTGTTCTCAGGCATCCTCCAAAAGGGCTCAGGGGAGGGATGGTGGGCTCCTATGGGCACCATTTGATCCTGTGAAGTTCCCTGCAAACCGCATGGGTTTTTTCCCTTCCTGATAGCATAGTGAAAAAGCATTTGAAAGAAGCCAGCTCAGATCTAGGTTACAGATGAAGGCCATTATGCAGTGGTAACACAGGCTTGCTTTCTTTTTAACTGTGAAGTTAATCCTCAGGGAGCCGTCATTTCTCTGGCAGCTCCAGCGGGAATGTTCACAGTGTTCCATTTGGCTACTGATAGGCCCAGATAAGTGATTTTTACAAGGCTCCAAACAGGGCTGAGCTATGGTATGCCAAAAATCCAGCTGCACAAAAAGAAAAGACGTGTTCTCAAATGAGCTAGCAAGTTTTCTCTTGCTTTGGAGAATGATAGTGACCCAGCCATCTATGATTAGATCTTATTTGTAGGTAGATTAAATAGTACTTATACAGCTTAGACTCACTGGCTTTGAGGCAGTGATTTTGAATTGATAAGAATTTTCTCTTCTCTCAAGCCCTATTTAAAATTTCTCTTGTGCTCATGTTGTTTAGCTTTCCTCACGCTCTTCTGTGCAGCAATAGTTTACATAGCATGTAGCTACACTTTTTAATCATATTTATGTTGACACTGGTGTTCTGGGCTAATTACTTTAACTTTAGTGCAAAAGTTATTGGTTTGCTTTTTCATAACTCTCTTTAAAAAAACAAACAAAGCCAAAATGTTGTCTGAAACATATTCCTACAGGAATATGAGGCAAAGGCTCAATTGCCTTAAGTTGAGCCACTCGCAAGGAGAAATGACCCAGCTTGGTATGCTGCATGATATTCTTACTCATTTCGTCTTTACTTATCCTTAAGTGCCATTCAAATAAATGCTGTTTAGGTTGAAAAGCAAGCACTTTCACAGAAATTGCAGATTTCATCTTGTCTGTGTATGAGAGGATCTCACTCTCATGTTGGTACTACAACGTGTCTATTTATGAAGTGATACCCTCATTTTCCCAAGGGACCCCACACTAGGTTTTCTACTGAATACACTGCAAGTATTTTGTTTAAATATTGTCATTCATTCATTCATTCATTCATTCATCATTCATTCATTCATTCATTCATTCATTCATTCATTCATTCATTCCTAAATGAATCTTCCTTTATTCATCCCCCTTTGCCATGTCACCCTCCTTGGAGCATTCTCCCCTCTAGTGCAGGTGCATTTTAGCCTCACTCATGCCAGTGCTGTGATGCTGTTGAGGGAAGGAGCTTCAAATGGGAGAGTGATTTTGACTCCTAAAAATGGAAAACCATCAAGAATCTGGAACCAACAAAAGAGTTCTTAGGAATATTACTGGTGATTTGTATTACCAGACAAATGATGACAATGAAACAGCCTTCAGGTAGAATACATAAACTAATCTTGGGGAAAGATCTGGTAACCATGTCTCCAGCTTCCAAGGGACTTCTGTAACCATTGGAACTGAGTCCTGACAGCTCTCCAATTCTCTGAAAACTGTGACACCTAGGAGGAGGAGCAGAAGCATAAATTCTCCCAAATAACCTACAGCTTAGGCTGGAAGGCAGGACTTGTGGGTGTAAACTTGTTCAGAAGAACAGAGAATTGAACCCTGCAAGCATTCTGTTAAAAGCCTGAATAGAAGAACCCTGTTACAGCCATTTCTTTGTGTTAATGAATGCAACAGCTTAGGTATGATATGCTCACAGTAGTCATGTAATGTATTCTGTGAGTGCATACACTAAATCAGATCCCACTTGTGCTTTGTAGCTGGAGGACAACCTCATTAGACATTCCTGATCACTCACAGGCTTTGGATAGAATACTATGTAATATAATATATATGTTACATCTATATTATTAATATTAATATAATTATTACATTTTATTGTTAAATTTAAAAATAATATATTATTATTAATATAATTATATTATATAGAATAATTATATCTCAACTAATTTGCTGAGATAAACCTTCACTTGTAAAAATGTGATTTTTTTATTATATTATGCCAGTAAGGTAACATAAAGGATAAAATAATGAAGATTTTTTACTTTGGTGTCTAAATTGTTCCTAGGAAGTCAGTTTACACAGGAGACGGACATTTTCTCTTTGTGTTTGCAATCTGTATCATAAAGATGATAATATAATTATATAGAGTCTATAATAATTGCTAATGGCTACTTCACAGGAGTATTGGAAAGAGTACATTAAAATAATGTTCAGATAACTATAAGAGTGGAAGACTATTTACTCTTGGACAAAATATGCTCTCTGGGGAAATAGCCATTCACTAATTTAGATAATGCACCATATAGCAACACATTCCTCAATTTCTGTTTTGTCACCTCTCTCCTACTTTATGTGTCTTCCAAAATGCGTAACAGAATGGACAGTTAAAATGCAGGGATGAAAAGAGTACTGGCATTTCCTCTTGTTTCACTTGATAGATAACAGCAAGATAAACAAGAGGGAGGGAGAAGTCAGCTAGTAAAGACAGACTCAGTCACGATGCAAAGTAGGCAAAAAATTATTAAACAGGGAGGAATTTTTGCCAGTAAAAGTCAATTAGTCAAAATTTGGCACTCAGCTGGGTGTTTCTAAAATGTATACACACACAAACATTCAGGTTTGCATAGATACAGCAGTACAGTTAAAAAGCCTGCTCTAAGTAGATGTCTATGACATATGTGGAAAATCATATAAAGCCATGAACTGACAGTTTTTGTATAGATGAACAGATCTTTCAGAGAGCAAAATAATATCTCCTTCCACGTGGTAGCATTCTCCTGAGCTTGGCATTACACAATGTCTGCTTTAGTCTTCAGTTCCCATTTGAATGAGGAGCCAACTCCCACATTAATAATATGTGGTAAAAATATATACATGACCCAGCTGCCATTTTCTCACTCTCTCTTTGAGAACGCTTAGGCCTTGGAGTAAACATTCATTCTAAACAATGCAGGAGGAATGTGACTGCTCAGCACTGCCTAGGATTAGTGGGGAGGACTGAGGATAGCTTTAGGTATGGTAAAGAAATGTGTGATAGGAGAAGTATGTTTTGACAAGGATGATATTATTAACTGTACAAAGATTTGCCTTGTTAACCCTAAACCAAGAGGTTTCTGGGTGATTTTTGCATATTACATTGAAGAAGCACTGCTTGCCATGCCAGCACAATTTCCAAGTCACATTGTGATGCCAAATATTCTGTCTTAAAGATGGTGGTGAAAATTCAGTGCTCTGCACACTGAGGGGGGTGATGAGCAGCAGCAGAATGGAAAAGCATCAAACTGAGACTTAATGAGGCTTTATCTTCTAGTCATTAACATGACCACAATAATCATCATAAAAACTTTTCTTAATTTTGCATGGGACAGATTCACTCAAGGTTAATGAGCTGCTGTGTTTTTTGGGTCATTTTGACTGGGGCTGTCTTTACCTCCTGACTATGCTACATTGGTGTGATTTGTTAAAAGGCTGCTGTGTGCCAAGGCTCACATAGTTGGCTGGGTTTTGGTGACACTTCTTAAGATTCCTGTAACTGAAGGCGAGAGCTCCTGACTGATAAAACAAAAAATGTTTGTGTATAACCCCATTCAACTATGTGAAGTATTCTTGGTTTCTATTTATTATGGATACTGCAGGAATTCTGCCTATACTTAATATCTCTTTAATTAAAGGAGATTTTTCTATTCTTTTAATTTAACAACAATTCTTTCATATTCCTGTCCTTTAATGCATCAACCACTTGCTGTCCACTTGATGCTCTCCTCCTGCCTGTAGCTGTAACTCCATGAGTACCAGCATCCCACAGGCTGGGGACACAGTCTAAACTGGGTGCTATGCAGGCAGACAGGAGGCTGCCTCCAGGCTTCAAATAAATGATCTAAAACCAGAAGGCAAATAAATTACCAGTGGGGTGGTGACAAGATGCATGTTGCTCCATAGCTGGGCAAACACCACAATTGCTTTAGTCCACTTGCTGCAACATCTTTTCATTGTGCTCCATATCCCAGTCTCTACTCCCAGTCATCTCCTAAAAGTTGTTTTGGAAGTGCCTCTCATTCCTTTGGCCTTACCCATTGCTTTGTGCCAGCTGCAGCTATGAAAACACAGTCCCACTGATGCAGCCACATTATTATGTTTTCAACTCTTTGCAAAGTTTCTCTGCTTCTAAAGGCTTGGGGTCTGGACAATTTTTTTTCTTCCCGTGAAATAGTTTAGAGGCCTTTGTAATTTTATAGATTTTCCAGATCTTGTAAATTAGCAATAAATATGCAAAGGCAAAGTAGCCAGTTCAGAAAAAGCAGAAAACATCTTTAAATGAGCCAAAATTCAGCTGAAATACTCAGGAAAGGACAAAGCAATTTTGGAGCTACATGTGCTGCACTGGCAGTTCCCATCAAATGTAATCTACAGGATAAGCACAAAGTCGATGCATATTGAGCACCATGTTTTCCTTGGTGCTCTGGGGTCTTTGGATGTACACATCACCTTTTTCTGGAAATTCATCCATTCATTCAGCTTAGGAGTATTCATACTGAACACACACATAAACTTCTGTCTCTCAAAAGTCAATCAAGCGTCAGCGTGCCTATTACTAGATCTTAAATGCCGTAATTCCCTGACTGATTTGTGTAATCTGTGTTCTTTAGGAGTTCTGACAAGTTGATAAAAGTGCTTTCTTCATTCCTGCCTTAAGACCGCTGACTTTTTTTTCAATTAGTGGGAGCTTTCAGGCTCTTGAATTTACTATCTGCTATTTCAGTTTTATTTTCTTTAATTGGCACAGCTATAATGCAAAGTGGAACACTGTGTGTGTTGGGAATAGTTCAAGTGGAAAAGACACAGCAAACTCTAGAATACTTTAGCAAGTCACATGTATCTATAGGGCTTTTTTTGGTAGAAAGGTGGATAAACTTGGCAGTTTAATCCTGTTAGGAGTTAAGCTTTTTCCATATGTCCTGATTTTCCTGAAAAGAAGAAAGCAAAATTCTCATCTGTTTTTCACATCCTTTCCCCCATTTGTTTGGCAGAAGTTCATAATGAGAGGAGACACAATGAGCCAAATACATCCCTAGAACTGCAGAGGTCACACCAGGCCTCACATTGGCTCACTGAATTTCTATAAATATCCAGCTATCCTTTGATTATTTTTTTTTCTCCCTGCAATCACATACTATTTCCTTTCATAAAATGTGTGGCCGTATATAATTTTTAAAATTATTTTTACTTGGCATACAAACGAACATTTCAGTTCAGGCAAAGTGCAGGGCTGGTAGGCTGCTCCTCTCCCATGACATGGATGAGACAATGGCTGTTCAGGATGCTGGATATGCAAATATGCTCTGGAAAAATCTGCTGGTATTAATGTGAAGAAAATGCAGATGCATGCAAATAGGCACATTTAATATTTGCAATAATTCTTACCAAAAATAATTTTAAATCCATTTACTGAAAATAAACACAGGATAGGGGCAGAAGAGCACACAGGCAGTAGCACATTTTGTGCAAATCATATTCTCTTCTCCTGGGACAGAGTTATTATGAAATCCTATTTCAACTCAAATCAGCAGGAGATTTATGAGCAACCTGTGAGTCTGGGTTTCACCTGTGCTATTCAACTCACTCAGCATGTAAATAACCTGTTCTCAGCAAAGCCAAGTGACACTGAAGAGGTAGGGACTTTTACTTTCCCAGTGATAGGCACATCCTTGCCAATGGGATACTGAACAGGGCCTTGATTGTGAGACTGAGAACTCAAAGCCATGATCTCTTCTCTAACACAAAATCTTTCACAGAATTGCTAGAATGAGCAGTTATTCTCACAGAAGTTTACATTAAAGGATAAATGGTTTTCTTATCTCACCAATCTATCACAGATTGCCAACGTCTGTTTTGTTTGGTGGTTGACATGGGTTTGAGTACAATATTTCTTCTGCATTTCTCAGATGATCACTGATAATTCTGGCTGAACTCTAGCTAGTTATATTTATCTTGTTATTTTGAAATTTAAATGATTGAATAGCAGTGGGAAGTTTGGTGTTTTGGTATCATAGGATATCATTAGACTTTTGAACTAATTTACATTGGCTTCCGTCTGTGTGTGGAGGTTTAAAAAAGAACCAAAAAACTACATTAAGGCAACTAAGAATAGAAGCTGTGACTCAAAATGCTTTGAGATTAATTGATATTAGCTGGAGAGTAAGGACTATTTATAAATGAAAGGAAAAGGAGAAATATTAGGCTAGAGTAAGTCATTAATCATCAAAATGAGTTTCTGGTATGAAGTAATTAGCCAGACCTAGAACAAGGACAAGGTTCCAAATGAGCTCTATGTCCTAATTTATAATGGATCGCACTGCAAGGTCCCTGCAGCCCCAGCTCTGAGTTGTGCATTCAGTCCTAACATAGCATGGTAGTCTGCCAGATCATATTCTGTTCTGACTGCCCTGATTATGGATTGCCAGTAATGACAATTCCATTTTGCCTGAGGATTTCTGGATTGGGATGGTGGTGGTGAGGCAGTTTGGTTTGGGGGTTTTTTGTCTGGTTTTGTTGGTTAGGTGTTGATTTGGTTTGGTTTTTTCCTTTTCCAAAAGCTTGTGATTAAAATCTTAACTTCAGCTCTTGGACGTGGCGGCTTATATCTGTGCTCTGTTTGATTTGGAACCAGAATTTAAACCAAACCAACCATAACTGGGGTGGTTTTGGTCTAAAATATGATCTATTCATCTTTTACTCTTCCCTATTGAAACTGTCCTGTTGTGTGTGAAAGTAGCCACAGCTCTGTAGGGAGAGAATTGGAGTATCTGATGGCTGAGTAATCTCTTTTTGTCTTTCCTGCTTGGAAATTTAAATGGAAAATCCGTCTTAGGTTTGAGGAAAATTTTCTCATATCCTATACCTTCCCAATTAAATGTGTTGGCACTGGATAATAAAAATTCCAAGTAAATGATATTTCAAGATCTTCTGTTAAATTGTTGCTTAAGAATGTCACAAAGTTTTTGATTTTACCATCTATTTTTCTGTAAACTGGACTCTAGCAGCACCTCCTTCTGAGGTGAAGCAAGAATTCCCAATGGAGAGCTCATTTTAGTGTGAACAAAGTTGTAGGATCTGGCTTCTATCTTCCCCATGGCTTAATTTACTGGTCTGCCAAATAAAAAGAGCTGTGAAACTGTTTTTAAAAATACTGACATCTTAAAAAGCAAAACTATACAGAGAAGATCTGAAGAACCTTTACACAAAGTACTACTCCTGTAAAGTCACCAAAGCCAAGATTTCATCCTTACACATAGTTTCATTCACTAATGTCCTTAAAATAACAGATCTGTTCCTTGAAAAGGGACTTCTGTAGAGGAAGTCAGTTGCTATTTGGTTTCCTTAAAAAACCCTTTTTCCCTTGTCTCTGCAGTCCTCCCCTTTGTCAAATTGTCTTCTGAAGTCCAACAGTTGTGGGGCCTCCATATCCCCATTTAGAGCTGCTGCTGTTGAGCACATGCTTGGTGTCCTGGGAGTGCAGTTTGGAGCAGCTCAGGAAATAAAAACCTCTCTTCAGAGCTGGCAGTGCACAACAGCAAAGCTATAAATACTTATTTGTCTCTCCTTTCTTTCTCTCACTCCACTTCCAGTGAAGACAGTGTCACCTCCTGGTGTTACCTTAAGTATGCTCAGAGCTCCTAGAGAGACTCCAAAATCCCTGTTTGGGTATTTATGGGAATTTTGCACATCCCTCTGGTCTGATCTGACCCAAAACATTCTAGAATTCTGTTATTCTACAGTTCTGTGATTCTATGATCATGATTCTATCATTCTATGATCAGAGTTTGAGGAAGGAGACAGAAATATTCTCCTGATATTTTCCATCCTGCTGCCATCTAGGTATTTCCCAGTTGTCTTTCCTGCTCTTCTGTGCATTTATATACATGCCTCTTTTCCCTCCAAACCTTAGTGGGTTTTTTCTCATCCTCATGTTTGGTTTCTCATCAACCAGAAATATTGAAAGCAGCCTGGGAAGTTGTAGAGTTTTGTACCACTTTATGTCTCTGTGTCAAACCAAGTACAGTCATAGAAATCAAATAAATTCTCTGTTTATGAGATTGCTGAATTTTTAGACTGGGCTGTGACCTTAACAGTTTTCACCTCTAGAAACGTGAAGGCAAAGAACAAAATCTCATTTGAGGGGAAAACCTTCAGTCCCAGATTAGTTGTTTTAGCTTCACAGCTAAGTTCACCTCTGCTGTGCAGTCCCTAAATGAGCACATTTGTCTCTTCATTGCACCTCAGCTAATTTCATGTCCTCTAATCTAATCAAAAGTGACTCTTCTTTGCCAAGAAAATTGCCTCTTTATGTACATCATATTTGTACTCATTTATGTACTAGAAATTGCTGTTATGTACTGGGCCAAGCAAATTATTTTTAAGGCAAAATTATTAAACTATGATCTTGCTTAATCCTTCTATAAATATTTGGGGAAGAAAAATATGCTTTAATGTTGTTTCAGTTCTACATTTTTTTGGTGAATAATCTGTGAATAATTCACTTTCCAGATGCAAAGTATTACTGAGGTATTATGATAAGACTAAGGAAAACACAACCCAAGATGTATTTCATTTAGAGGGCTATGTGCTTTTCAAAATAGAGGCTTTGGTGCCACCACTCATAAAATGTTAAGCAGTCATCTTGCTTTTAGACCACCTGCCCATAATGGTGGTGGAACACTCCTTGTTCCATTGGAGGCAGTATCAGGATCATACCAGTGCTGCTGCATTTCATGGCCAAAGATAAAATAGCTTCAGTTGTGCTACCTTTTGACAAATGCCACTGCAGATGAAATCTTGTTGAGTGGATCTGGGATTTGTTTATTCTTGCCTCACAGACATCTGTTCCTTGTCCTAGGTCCCCTGATGCTGCCTGCTTTCATGCAGCATTAAACCAAGTCAGTAAGACCTTTGTCCAAATGTGGGGATATGGAAAATGCAATGGGACCAGGCCAGAAATATCTCCTCCTGAGCTGTGGTTCAAAGCTATGTGTAGAACATAGTTTTGTTATAATTTTATTAGTAGAAGTTGGCCACTGTTTTTCTGCAGGGCTTGACAATGTTGAAGTATTTAACCTTTGCAATTAGGTCCTGCAAGTCTCACCTGGCCAGTCTTGTCTCTGAACTGTTGAAATATTCCTTATAACAAGTTGTAACTCCTACATGGAACTACACAGCAGTTGTTCTTCCTTAAATCTGATCTAGGGGATTATCTCAAGCTGTTTTGACTTGTCTTCCATATAAAACTTGGGGAGAACAGAGTGTATGAAGCAGAACCACCCAGCCAGCAGAGAAATTAGATTAAAACAATGTCTAAGAGAAATCTTTATAAACATCTCCTGTTACATCTTTTCTTATCCAGAATCCTGGCCACAATGAAGTCAATGGAAAAACTCCAGTTACTGCTAAGAAAGGCCAGAATTCTATTCCAAGTCTGTGAAATAAGCCATAATTAACCTTCCATTGTGGCTGCCAGAATCCATGTCATCACTTACTTCCACTTTCTGAATTTAATTTTAGTGAAAATCTGTCCAAAACTTAAGAGGCATTTAAGGAATAGCCAAGTGACTTTCTCCCTCTATCACTCTCTCTTATACACCCAGTTAATTTAGAAAATATGCCCTAACACCTTCCACAGTTTCCTTTTGTAACAAATGTTAAAGACCCTGCACTAAGATAATGGAAAATTCTTGTTATTGCTTGCTCTTCTTTTATGTTTTGGATTGAAAAAGTCCCTCAGCTCACCACACTCTAATTAATGGTCATTAATTATTTACAACTTGGCTTTATTCTGTGAATTAATTTCCCTTTCTTCCACAAATAAATAAATAAATAATGATTTTAATTATCTTTCTATAAATATTTGGTTTAGCTCAGGTCAGGAGTTCCTGCTGGATGTTCAATATGCATTTGGTCTACCCTTTTACCCAAAGTATGAAGCACAATTTACTGAGGAAGAAAAGAGCCTTTCCTTGCAAATTATGCAGTATATCTCCAATTTCATAAACTCTGGGTAAGTGTGGGATATTTATGAATTCCTGTGACTGGGGAGATGGTGAGAATTAGAAGGAGTGTAGTCAGTCCAGACCCTGCCCTCACTTATTCACTCTCCATTTCCTCTACAGTTTGTAAGTCTTGGATTTGGACCACACTGTTGGAAAGTCATGGCCAAGTTACCGAGCAGAGCAACCATCAAAGGTTTACAGTATGAGACTTAGCTAGGAGGAATAGACATTTTATCTCCATTGACCAGCTGAAAATTCTACTAAAGTACATGCAGGCTTCAAAGGCCTTGGTGATGTCTCCAGAGCTTAGTTCCAGGACCTCAGTTCTGAGACCTCTTGGCTAAGAGTTCTCTTTCCCATAAGAAAAGGGAAAGCACAAGAAGATGCAGTGCACACTTTACCAGCTGCTCTGTGAACATCATTCTGGGCTACTGTGCTGTAGCCATGCTCTAGAATGAGGAGTTATCTCTGGAAAACGAGTGTGGGAATGGTGGGGACAGTGACTTGATGTGCTTTTTACAGTGTCTTGGGTTGGGATGGGATTGAGGGCTGTTGAGGGTGTTCATGAACCTGTGTCTATGCAGGTTCTGTGTTTCCTAGGAAGTGAACCAGACTAAAAGGTACTGTCAGATGGGGCACTGTGAATGAGTCACCAATCTGGACTGAATTTGAACCCCGCTGGTCAGAGGGACTGGATACACATTTCCCTGACCTAGCCAGTCTTATCATTTTACTGTTCATGTCATTATTTTCTAAAGATAATGTCTCCCTCTCCCTTAGAAATCCAAACTACCCCCACAGTTTCTCGAGAAGAATGTTGGGGGTGAAGCCTGCCTGGCCCATGTATCTGTCAAGTGATGATGGCGATAACTACAAGGAATTCACAGTTTCTTTGCCTACTCTTAAAGGACTGAAAAAAGCAGACTGTTCCTTTTGGTCTGATTATATCAGAAGGCTGAAAGCATCCACAGGTAAGAAGAGTGCTTTCTGACATTAAATAAACCCTAAATTCTCTGCTAAATGTTTTTGTCTGACTGTTGTGTTGTTTTGTCACTGTGGAAAAGCACTTTTTGCAAATTAAACATCTTGCAATGCCCAGGTCATAGTTAAGAATGTAACGCTAAACAAATTTACTTTATAGCAGATCATGTGTAATAAAGTTTAATTGTCCTAGAGTTTAACTAGCTAGAGAAATCTTCTTGCTATGATGATAGAAGATGTGATGAAGCCATATAGAGAGCTTGCTGTTTACAGTCATATATCTATTTACAGTCATAATATAGATTCTGGATAAACTGGAAGGCTGTGTGTACAGGCCTCTTTGTCTGCTGGAAGCACCTAACATGAGACTGTTGAGACTCCTGTGGCATAGGAGGAGCACAAATCATTTCCATCCACTGTAAAGTTGCAGCTGAGGCTTTATATCTTATCATATTATATATAATATCTTCATATCTTATTATATTATTATATCTTATTATATTCCTGCATGCTTTGACTTCTTACGGGGTTAGTTTCTTTGACTTTTTTTATAGCTGTGGTGATTATGCCCCTTGCATGTCTCCTTTTATATTTGCCATAAATTTCAATGCAGCTATGAGAGCCTTTCCATTTTTTTCTTACTTCTTAGGACAGTAAAACCAGCTCTGCTTAGATTTCAATCTGCTGCCTGTCCTGAATTTATTCTAGTAAATATACTCCCCTTCATATCTGTGTATCTTGTAAATAAATATGGATAGCCTGAAGCAAAGCAAACAAAACCATCCCTTTTTGGCAGGCAGAGATGTTTTGAATTGTTCTTGGAGGCCTGCAAGTTTGCATGTGTTTTTTATGTCCTAAGGATTCATCTTCACAGTGAGCACAGTTCAGGCTCTCTCTGCTTTGAGGACTGAATTCAGCTGTTGAATTTCTGAGAACAAAATGTACTTTCCAAGACACCAAGCTACCGAGGCTATCTATGCCTGACACAAGACCTCAAATGGGCTCAGGCTGAAGTTTGGGTGACACAAAAGTAAAATGTCTCGGAACCATCAAGCTGGTGGTTCTGATGCAAACAGAGCATCAATTCTCACATTCAATAGACAGTCTCAATCTTTACTCATGGTTTTTCTTCCAAAGCAGAATCAAGATTTTGTTGTCAGCCTTTTAATTTTTTTCCTGGTATCCTTCAATGTCTTTCAAGTTCGGAGGGGATATTTTATCTCCAGTAGCTTTGTGCTGATTGCAATATTGCTGATTTTCACATCTTTATTCTGATGTTTAAACAGTCCTGGCAAAAACTTCCAGATCTTTTTGGACCTCATCTCACAGCACTGTGGCTGTGCAATGCCAGACTGGGCTGAAGTCACAGCTCTGGTAGAATGACTGCTGACCAAGCACCACGGACAGAGACTATTCCTAGCACCTATGGAAATTCCCCAAAAGGATGGGAAAATATCCACCAGGGCATATTTTATTTTTTTTTTTTCTTTACACAGACAAGATTTAAAGCTATCCAAACTGGCATAGGAATGAAAAATTCATGTAAGGGTTAGTCCAATGATCTGTCTAGCTCGATGTCCTGCTCTTATCCACGGCCATAGCCAAATACTTGAACGTTAAACATAAAAATACAAGGAGGGAGAGAAAAACACACTTGAAAAGATCACAAAGTTGAGTAAAATTTTTGAAAATATGCCATAAAGTGGGAAATTTATGGAGTATGAATCGTTAAGAGCGGGTTTAAAAAGTACATATCAAAAGTGCATTTTAATCTTCAAGCAGAACTGAGTACACCCAGCTGTCTCTTAAAGCCTCAGCACCATGGCAATGCAGTTACACAGCTGATTTCTGCTAAATTCTGTATCACAGCAATGTTGGCTTGACACTTTGCTTTGATAGTAATTTTTAATCTGTTCTCTGTCTTGAATACTAAACTTTCTCATACAATTTAAATAGATATCACATCAAACCCTTTTCTGCTTCAGACCCCTTAGCCTGGGAAGATAATTTATAGAGACACATCCTGTGAGTCTCTTGATAACAATCTGAACCCAGGTTCTTATGAAAAAAGATTCATAATGTTCATCAGGTCAGTTAGGGAGAATGCATAAAACTCAGATGGTGATGGCTGAACATCAGTTTGAGAGGATGTTGTGCTGAAATTCATGCCAAAGCAGTGTCAGTTCACCAGTACAAGTTGCACTGCATTGCTCCCAAAAATTAGGTTCTGCAGGAATCCTGGAATCTACAGGAATATGTTCCTGGAGTGCTGTCAGGCTGTCCTGTGGGACTCTGGCATATGATAAACACCAGATTTGAGAGAACAATGCTGCAAACCATTTTTGGATGTTGTACCTTGTACTCTTTCCTGAGGGGGATCTATTTGTCTGTCAGCTACCCTGAGATCAAATCTAACTCCTTTCTGCCTTTCAAAAATTATAAATGTTTATGATAGAGTTCTTGGACTGTTGTTGTTGGTTGCAATTTGTGATCTCTTTCCAAGTAGATGGAATTTACAAGTGTGCCAGAGAGAAGTACAGATAACAAAACATTCCTGTTTTCACATCTAAGTACAAAGGTGCACAGGATCTAGTGTGATGCAATCTCAGCCAGATGTGATGAATCCTGTTTTGTTCATCTTATCTTTTCCTTGAAATCAATTTTTTTCCAGCTTCATATACCATCTGGAATCTATAAGCAAAAACATCCCAAATATATTTCAATAAAATGGAGAAGAGCTGGACAAACCAATGATCATAAAATATAACTGGGACTGGCATTTTAAAAAATTTTCTTGATCCTTTTTATACTGCCATGGGAAATGTCTTGATTTGGAAATGTCAAATTAGGGATGACTAAAGGCTCAAAGCTCAATATCTCCATCCAACAGAAAACTGAGGTATTCCTTCCTGTGGTTTAAGCTAAACTTATAAATTTCAGCTTCTGGAATAAAACCTTTCACATTAAGAATCTGAAATACCTTTTAGGTTTTTCACTGCTGGGTCTAGAAGCTTTTGTTTATCTTAACTATTACCTGTAGTTTCTTTCCATTTAGTAAAAAATATTGTTCAAGCTAGTGTTTCATTTTGTGATCAGACCACAATATTTAATGACAGAATGTATCATTTGTCCCTGGCACATAACTGGAATGTATGTGGTTGTATTTGAAAGTAATTTTTCAAATTCATTTAATAAATGCAATGATTCTTCATCATGTTTGCTGGAAGTACTGTTACAAGCTATGGAGGGAACTTGGAATCTGTTTCATTGTAGATGAACTAATAATCTCCTGAAGTTTTGTTTGAGACCAGTTTGTAAAGTTGACATTTTGGGGAGCAGTTTGCTTGGGGAATTATGGAAGTGGTGGTGCTTGAAGAGGTTTGGAATTCTCATGGTTGCATTTCAAAGACATGTTTTATATTTTGAATTATGACGGTTTCCATGGGAAACATCAAAATGAGAAACAAGAGTGGCAATTGTGGAAAAAAAGAGCTGTGAATGGCTTTTTCCAGGGAATGTGTTAACAACTTGAAATTCAGTTAGAAATTCAGCTAAAAACAGGAGGTCCAGAATGTTTATGTCTATTCAGACAGATGTCTGAATGCTAACATTCCCCTTACATAGTGTGGTGGACTGTGTGCCTAACACAGTGAGTCCCTTTATAAGGGGCCTCTCACTGCATCCCAAACAGGTGGAGCTGGATCCAGTGTACATCTCTTGCTCCTCTAGCTGGTATCTAAACAGAACCAATCCTACAAAAAAAAGTGCCTCTGTAAGCAGTCTTGCAGCTGGGGAGAAAGACATACCTTTAGTGTCTCACAGTGAAATCTTGCCTGCCCAACTCCTGCTCCTAAATTTCACCTCTTAGACATATTTTCCATGCCCAAGTTAGCCAGACTGGACTTTATCTGTAGAAAATTCAATGGTAGCAAAGCTGGAGCCTTCTCCATGAGCTCTGGGATGCCATGTGTAGCCAAACAGGAGCCCAAACAAAGTAAGAGTGTTCAGAGTTCAGACTTGACTCAAAAGTGAGTCAGGAACATTGTGTTTAGCATTCATCTTTTATCCTCTGTAGTCATACCTTCTTTTTTGGAAATCTCAAATAGAAGACATTCCTTTAGGATGAGGGGCATCTGTGCCCCTCACAATGAGAGCACCCTGGCTATGAGACATTAAATAAAGACCCTCAGTACGCTTTCTTGACATAGCTTGGTGGTGTTGAGGCAACTGCATCACTGAAATAGGGTTGAAGACCGAAATCACAGGAGGTAAAAGATAACAAAGAAAAGATCTGTTGGAGGCAGTTGCTTGGTGCTTTTTGTATTACAGACAGACAAAAAATTAATGTTGCCCACACTTCCTACCTGACAGGGAATTTTCAGGAGAAAACAGAAAAATAAAGTCTTGCATGTGTGGAGAATAAACTGTTATGCATTCCAATGGCAGTTATTTAAAGGACAATAATTAATTACAATGAGGTGATCAGCCATTACTGTAAAGCATTTTGAAAATGGATTGCCAACTGAGAAAAACAGTTTCCTGAATATTTATAGCTGCTAAAAGGTTTTTAGGTGTGATTGTACCCTGTAGCTTGCTGCTTCAATGATACAACATCTCTTTTAATCTTAATTGTATTTTCCTTCCAGGAAGTGGTGAAGAACCTTCTGCAGAAAACAGCTCTGGTGAAACTCCAAATGAGAGCCAGCCCCTGAGGGATGAGGTGGCTTACAGCAGATAGGCAATCACAGGGCTGGGGGGTGGCTTTGTTACACAACTGTGCATCCACACACCTCACACCAGATGAGCAACAATTCCTTTAGTTAACTTTCTCAATAAGTAAAGTGTATCTTTCAATAAAGTAATTTTCAAGAAAGTTATATTAATTTGGCACAAAATAATCACTACAGTTATTGTTTTAAGTCAAAAGAGAATGTAATTTGAAACAAAAATAAAATATCAATAAAAACTGCGTAACCAAAACAAATAGACTTGGTCTTTTTTTTCTTGCAACTACACAAATGCCAACATATTTTAGTACCACCAGCCAGAAAAGGACATACATTAAAACACTCAGAAGCCCCTCATTGATGAGGCTCGGATTTGTTAAATCTCTGTCTTGTCCTTTTTCATTACTCATCCCATCACAAGCTGCTGATAGTTGAGAGATCCTGGTTTGGCATTCTGGAGAAAACTAAAGAATTTTAAATTCTTTCAAAAGAAGAACAATTTAAGAAGGGAATCAAGAGTATGCATTGGGTGTGTTCACGCGTCACACACATGCTATATTCATGATCCCCCTTGAAATTATGTATAAGACTATTTGGATAAGTCAGAGTACGCAGAAGAGATAATGCAAATAATATGTTAATTAAAGCTTAGAGCATAGCATTCTTGGAACATCTATCTTTTTAAAGAAGAAGGCAAGATACACAATAGTTTTGGAATCATAAGGAAAATCACAGGATACCTCTAATGGCTCTGAAAGTATTTTGGATTAGGTTGTTAATTTATTGCTGGGATCATTTGGCAGCAGATAACCTTCACAGATGTATATCACACACGTGTCCATGAGACTTCACAAAAAAGTAAAATCAAGGTTGCCCAGTAGGACACAAATTTCTTGTGCAGTGCTGAAATTTTTTAGAAAACAACTCATAAGGTTTTGTTTGCTGCTTGAGGCCTTTTACAGCACATGAGCTGTTACTGCTGTCTGCCATGTATTCAGGTTTCCAAAGGTTTTACCAAGACAGAAGAGAAGCTGTGTAACGTTCTTAATTCTTATACTTACATCCTGTTCAATAAACAATAAAAAGACTGGAAGAATCAAGAAGCTAATTAATTGGCTAAATATAAGAGTAAAGATAGAGAACTCAGACTCTGATTTCCATCATTAGCTATACCTAAACCAGCTAACTGGTAAAGGAAAAAAAACCAGACAAACCACAAACTATTTAAGAGCTTTTTAAAAAGCCCAGATCTTAAACATGTATCTCAACAGAGGATACTTTCTTTGCAGTAAGTATAGATACAGCAGCTCTGATTCCTTGCACAAGACTGGGTTTATTTTTGCCTTATTTGAGAGCTAATTGTTGGTCACAGCAACTCCAGTATTATTCTGCTGCCCATAGAACTGGTAAACAGAGGACAGATTTAAAAGGATTCAGTATTGACTCATGTTAATGAAAGCCAAATATATAATCTTTTTCCACTCACTATTCAGCTCCACCTTGAGCCCAGAGATGTCTCTGGAATTTGAGAAAAGGTTTTCATTTTGAGCTAGGAATGCAGAAACTTAGCCTTGTAGGCTCCTAATTACAGTCTTGGCCATCTAGAAGGACTGGTAGATAGGCAGGTCTGACTGGGCTTTTCAGCCACCCCCTCCTGAGATATCCAGCTTGAGTGCCAATTTGGTAAAAGGGACTCTTTAAATATGGATTTTTTTGTAAAACATCTTTATTTCATGACTGACTGCCCCACACATGCCCTGTTTCAGTGGACACAGCTCTTTAGACTGTTCTGTCTCTCTCCAGGTTTCCTAGAAGCCTCTTCCAAAGCCCAGTATTGGTTTCCTACTTTAAAAAATCATGAATATATCCCAGTTCTCTGCACCCTCTTCTCCTATGCTAGTCCTGCTCAATCTCCATGCTTCTTTGAACTTGCTTCTGTCAAGGAATGTTTGATGCAGACAAATGCAGTTTCATGATCCCCTGTGTTCCTGTAATTCCACATTTCCTCATTTTCCCACATCTTCCATCTCATATCCTTAAGCTCAAACATCTTTGAATTCTGATACAACTTTTGCATCAGGACAAGTGATTCAGTCTTTTTGGCTGTGAGTCCCATCACCTTCTTGACTTTACTCCTCTTTCTTATGGAGAACCATACTGTTAGAAATTGCCTGGTCAAACCCAACAGGAGATTTAATTAGAAAAGCACACATGTGGACTGACTGACAGAGGTCAGGAAACTTTAGCCTTCGTGATACTGAGAGGCCAAGTCTGCTCCCACATATAATTCCTAGTAAGAAAAATACATTCCCAGACTATTTAGGTCATTGCACTTTAAACTGAAATACCAAAGCCTGCAGTGATCTGGTACTGAAGCAATGCACAGAAGCACAACTACAGCCATGCTTTCCTCCCTCCTACTGGAAATGGCTATATTTTTTTAAAAGCAAAGCATTCTTTAAAATGAGCATACACACAGGAAACTCAAGTTAATGCCATTTAAGTAATTTAATCTGAACTTTTTGAAAGACAAACCATCAGAACCTTTCTGTATATGCTGCTTTTAATACTTGAATACTAACCTACAGTGTTTTATGTGATTCTTTCACACAGGACATACTAGGCAACAGAGAAAAAATGCAGAGCATTAAAAATATTTTACCATGCATAGTTGGAAAAAAAGCAACTGACTAAATGGCAATGCTGGAACATTGATTGTTTTTGTAAGTACTTGACACATAGAGCTGGAACATCACATTTGTCATCCTGCTATTACCCACATCACATAATTCCCTTGGCTAAAATTAAGGACTCAGTGTTTCTCCATAGAAGCATTATAGTCAATGAGTATTACAACAATGAGTCAAAAAAAAATATTACATACTCACATCCTCTCTAACTTGCTCCAGCTACACTCTATAGCAGTGGCTTATATAGTAGTAATTAGATATTTATGGACAGCTGCTCCTCCCTATGTGAGGCTAAAAAACAATAAACAAACCCAGAAATCCTCCACGTGGTTCTCATTTGGACTTTGAAACACAGACACTGGCCTGGATGGCATTTTATGTGTTTCAGGTGTGAGAGAATTTGATTAATTGGAAGTGTAATAGGATTTCAACTTTTTCTATTTTTTTCTGTTTTTATATGAAGTTGATCTGGCCCAAAGCTGAAGGGTTGCTACTTCCTGCCCCTGCAGGTGTGAATCCTCTAGCATGGCCTTTGGTCAGGTTGATGTTTGCTCCCTCTCCTAGTTTTCCAGCTGCCCAGGGAAGACCCTGTGATTCCAGCACTGGCTAAAACTCAGTGGACTTCAGCTGAGAGCTCATGTGCCCTCAAGGACAATTAAGACAGTTTTGCATCAGGATTCCTGACAAATCTTCTCACTCTTTGAGGGGCTGGTGTATGACTGGGTGTGGAGAATGCCTGTTTCACAGCAGATTTTGGATCATTACAAAAGCTGCTATTTTCTTGTTTTAAGGAGACCTCCTTTTCCTTCCGGTTGTTATTCCTCAAATATTCTGCTATCATGGCATGAGAGGGAATGCCTCAGGAGTTTATCTTTCCTGCCTCTTACACAAGCACTCTACAGCCTGTCTGGTGAGCACAAGTCAATCTAACTGATAGTATCTTCTAGGCCTCAGATCGAAGTCAGATGGGACTGGATATTTTTAAACATTACAGCTGTTTTCAAAGCTGACTAAGAAACTTTTTAAATCAGATCTCGCTAACCTGTAGGGAATTTGGATGCCCGGTTCCCATTATGGCTTTGAAAACTCCACCCAACATCTGTGAAATGGTCAGTGCTCATTTAGGAGCCTTTTCCCTTTCATGATGAGCAGATGGCCACAGACAAAAGCACCATTGCAATTGGCAGCAGTTCATTGACTCACAAGGGGAGAATTTAGCTTGTTTAGCTTCCCTGGTTCAGAGATCTTTAGCCAGACAGACCAAAAAAGCTTGGTTTCTTTGGTTATTTTTTGTTTCATGTGAATGAGAGTGGACAGTTTTCAGGGACAGCCAGCATTTTCATGACCAATATTAGCATAGAGGTACTGTCTTACACAAAGAAGTAATGCAAACTTCCAAAGGGACTCACATATCCCTGTTTTAAATTGAGGAAAGAATTCAGAGGAGTCACAATCAGTTTATTGCAGCATTTTATATGTACCACTGAAAGCAGTGATCTGCTTTGCATGTGTTAGCTTAAGTGAAATGAGAGCTCAAGTTCAAGAGCAAAGAGATCTGATGTTCTTCTACATTATCCAACCATAATTGCTCAGGTATGTCAATTTTAAATAACAGAAAATAACAGAAGAATGATTTTTCAGTGAAAAGTCTTTTGTTTAAAAGATTTTGTCTGGATACCTCAAAAACAGGATACGTAAGTAAGGCAAGGATATATTCTGGCTCTGAAGAGTTTACTCAGTACTTGTATCCTAAAACACAGTTAATAAAAATGCCAATTGACAGCTGCTCTTTGGAGTGGCAATTCAAAAGTTAATGGCTGGATGTTGGCTACCCTGGAGATTCAACTCTGAAGTAAAGCCCATGTTAAGGTGAAAGATCACTGAAATAACTAACAACCAACTGCTTGTTATTGTTATTTGTAAGAAGAGGCTGTGAGAAATGAACCTGTAAAAATTCGTAGAAATCTAAATAAATGTATATAACAATAATGATATAAAATATAAAGTACAGTATGGCCCACAAGCCCTTCCCAGATCTAGCCACGAATTCCCACTCAAAGGATAACGATCCTAGCCGGCGCCCATCAACGAAAAAGAATAGACAGGACAAGGATCATCAAGCTGACAGGGACAGGCTCGGTGCCCATCAACGAAAAAGAATAGACAGGACATGAATCATCAAGCCAACAAGGAGAGGCTCCTACGAGATACTCATCACCGGACCTGAACACCCCGCCTTGCAGGCCACCGTTGGGGGAAGCCATCAGGTAAACAAAAGGAAAAAGTCCAGCCGAGATATCCATCAGCTCCAACCCGGATCCAACCATCCCATCCAGATGGCCTGAACCACAATGAAATCAAGAAACACCCAGAACTTCTTTACATATGAGGA